GTGTGTGTTGGGGGAGTGTGCATATGTTTCAGGAAGGGTGTGTGTGTGAGTGAGTGAGACAGAAAGATTGTGTGTGTTGGGGGAGTGTTTGTGTCTTGGGGGTGTGCATGTGTGTGTGAGAGAGAGTGTGTTGGGGCAGTGTGTGCGTGTGTTGGGGGACTGGGTGTGTGAGAGTGTAGGGGGCAGTGTGTGTGTGTGAGAGAGAGAGAGTTGGGGGCAATGTGTGTGTGAGAGTGTCTGTGTGTGTTGGGGTAGTGTCTGTGTTAGAGAGTATGTGTATGTTGCAGGGAGTGTGTGAGCGAGAGTGCAAGAGTGTGTGTGTTGGGGCGGGGGAGTGTGTGTGTGCCTGAGCGATCGGGTCAGCGCGCTGTCTCTTTAAGCAGAGCATTCAGAGGCCTGAACAGCAGCACCAGTAGGTCCCAAGCTGCCCCTGACCCCCACCCCAGCTCAGCGGAGACCAGGTACATGGGTGGGGGGAGGGGACACCCCACACTGCCTACTCTGTGCAGCAGACAGGAGGCCGGCTCCCGGTCCCAGGTAGCTTGGTCAGGGGCTGCTCTGTTGGTGGGGGTGGGAGGAGCAGGAGTGGGGAGGCTGCAGATGGTAGTGGAGCCTTTCCTCCCCCACTGCTTCGGAGGAGTTACCTGATTGGTCCAGCTGCCCTCCTGCAACACAGTTTATCCACCCTCTCCAGGTGCCACCATGCCTGCCTCTAAGCCCCACTGACTGTCGGCAGGTCAGGTTGGTGGGAGGTACCTGCCTGGCACCCCCCACCCTACCTCCCCGAGCGTGGCATCCGGGGCGGTGGCCCAGCCCAGCCCTCCGTAAGGCCGGCCCTGTCCAGAGCCCTCTGCTTGCTGAGCACCGTAGCAAACACATCATTTAACCTTGTATTAAAGGTACAGAAAAAGAAGGAAACAAAGACAGTTAAAGTATATGAAATGAAAAGTATTAAGTAAGGCTTTCATTTTAACATCATCCCTCATTCCCTTTCCCTTTGGCTGGAGAGGGTGTTTAGAAGGAAGTTCCCCTTGTCTGACAGTCTCTTAGATGGTATTAAAGATGGTAATAAGGGGCCGTGTGGCCTTTAGGGAACAGAGAAGTTAGGTGAGATGGACTGAAGCTGGCGTTGCTGTTGTTGTTAAAGTCCCGTTTCCTGGAAGACAAAACAAGATAAATACACACAAAGGGGAAAGAAAAGAACAGCAAGATAGAAAACATAGCTTCTGTCTCAGGGATGATGCTCAATTGCAAACAGGGCGGCCGACATACTTGCCGGCCCCTAGGCAAGGTGGGCGCGGGGGGGTGGGGGGCGACTCTGGGCCCCTGAAGGGGCAGGGCCTCAGGCAGAAGGGGCGGGGCTGGTGGCTAGTTTCCCTCAGCCTGCCCAGCCTGGACCGTGCGACCAGGGGCTCCAGTGGTGATTTAAAAGGACCCAGGCCCTTTTAAATTGTCGGGCCCCGGGGCAGCTGCCCTTTGCCACCCCCACCCCCGCATCAGTGGCGCTGCTTGCAGCCTCACTGTGGAGAAACACAGGCACAGCACATGGTCTTATCAGCTACTCTGAGACCTGGCAATCTTGTACCAGCATAAGGCTATTTAGCACATTGCATTTAGTTGCCTTTCTCATAAGAAGAAAAGGAGTACTTGTGGCACCTTAGAGACTAACCAATTTATTTGAGCATGAGCTTTCGTGAGCTACAGCTCACTTCATCGGATGCATACCGTGGAAACTGCAGCAGACTTTATATACACACAGAGAATATGAAACAATACCTCCTCCCACCCCACTGTCCTGCTGGTAATAGAGGAGGTATTGTTTCATATTCTCTGTGTGTATATAAAGTCTGCTGCAGTTTCCACGGTATGCATCCGATGAAGTGAGCTGTAGCTCACGAAAGCTCATGCTCAAATAAATTGGTTCGTCTCAAAGGTGCCACAAGTACTCCTTTTCTTTTTGCGAATACAGACTAACACGGCTGCTACTCTGAAACCTTTCTCATAAGAGACTCGCAGCAGTGTTGTAATATATACAGCCTTGGTCAGCTAAGCCAGACTCTCCTTCAACAGAAGGAAAAGGAGGGGAGGGGGTAGGAAGGAGAAGAAATAGGTGGGAAAGGAAAAGAAGACATAAGGAGGGGTGTGGGTGTGTGTGTCACAGTCTCACATCCTAGGTGGTGGGTGTGATTATCTGGAGGTGGTGGTGTTATCTGGCTCCTTCTCTCTGGCCCAGTTTGGTCAGGACATCTCAGAGGATCAGGATGAAGAAGGTCTGGGGCCGCAGGACACTGTGGGGGTGGCAGCATCATGGTGAAGTTCACTCCTTCCCCTTCTCCCATCTCTCAATCAGACAGTGTTGTGGTAAGCAGCTTTTCCTTCCAAAGTCCCCTTCTGAGGACCGCAGAAGGGAAGTACTGTCTGGAAGAGCCCTTCCTCTCATTATTTTGTCCACCAGTTAGGGCTAATTTCCAACACAACAATTTTGGTTCATTGATTTCTGGTCTCACACTGTTCTCGTTTGCTAGGCATGGTCTTAACACAGACTGAGTTAGTCCAAATAAAGAGGCCTATGTATATAATTCAAAGACTGTCTCTTTAGCACCATTTCCCATCAAATAGGTCACTTTTCTCAGTTGAGCTCACAATTAAAGAAAATTTGCAGGGCCAAATAATACAACAGATGGGCCCAAACAGAGTTGGGCTGAGCTGCTAAAATGTAAAAGGCAAGCCTAAACAGAAGGCAAAGGTTTTTATAAACGTGTATCTCATTACTCATGGCCAAAATGATATAGTATCCTGCACTGCTCTCTCTTTCAGTGCTCCTGTTTTGAAACTCTACCCCAGATTTTGGTCATCCATTTGAAGAGAGATCCGGGTGACATTAATGTTGAGGTCTCTGTGTCCCCCTCACGGACACTGAAAACAGAAAAGCAGCTTGTAAGTACATGGACTTCCTACTGAGCTTTCATTATTTTTATCCTCTGTTTTACCTAACCGATCTAAAAAAAAAAAAAAAGGAAAGGAGAGCATGCCAGCAACTTCCTGATTTCAAATTTAGGAATATTGGCTGGTATAGTCATGTGGTATTAAAGATGGTAATAACTGTCCTTTTGGCCTTTGGGGAAAGAGAAACTCATATATTCTATTCTGTATAGGTGTTTACACCGTACTTGTTATTACCATAGTATCTGTATAGCCTTCCAGTAGTGCATTAAGCAATTTGACTACACATCTGTCACATGTCATAGAGTTCAGCTCTACCAGTGTGCCAAGCTATAGTATGAACTTTGAATATGTTGGACTCAGCCTGGTCTTGAGGTTTGATGTTTTGTGAACCTGAAGCAAGGAAATTTGCCAATTGGAGAAATCCATTAACCCTGCTGGACACCCCTAGCCTGACATCTGCCCCCTTCTGAACTCTGGGAGCAGTACTTATCATTTCCATCTTCAGGCAGGGTCTGATGGCCATCTCCTCCTGCTTCACATTCCTAGCGGCTTCATCCATCAGTCGCCTTTGGGGAACAGTAGGGTCAGGGCTTAGGGCAGGGGTAGTCAATAGGCAGACTGCAGGCCAAATCTGGATTGTCAGATGTTTTTGAATGGACCCAAAATCTTTTTATGTACTTATTATTATTATCATTATTGTTATGTTTGTATTATTTTCTCTGGAATCTGGACCTTGACTAAGGAATTTGGCCTTTGACAAAAAAGAATTGATTTCTTAGGGCATTTCTCCTTGGAAAGAGAAGCTCAAATGTGCATGTGATGCTCACTGGCCATCTATCTGATACAATAATGTAGGGCTCAATTCCTGAACATCATCATGATGCAAACCCTATTTTCCCTTCAAATAATCAAAAATAAGTACAGATTTAATGGATTTGTTTAAAACAATAGAGATAGATGTAAAATAGTTTTTTATGTGACTACATTTGTGCAACACCAACTAATGGCAGTCTTTACATTCTTAAGATGGTAGCACCAATTTAATCAACTCTCTCTCTCTCATATTGAAATTCAATATTTTGGTTTCTTAGGGCTTGTCTACATTACCGCACGGGGTCGATCTAAGATACCACAACTTCAGCTACGTGAATAGTGTAGCTGAAGTCGACGTACTTAGATCTACTTACCACGGTGTCTTCACTGTGGTAAGTCAGCAGTTGACACTCTCCCATCCACTCCGCTTGCGCTTCTCGTTCTGGTGGAGTACCAGAGTCGACGGAGCGCTCGGCGGTCAATTTATCGCATCTAGAGTAGAAGTGATAAATCAACCCCCTCTGGATCAATTGCTGCCTGCTGATCTGGCAGGTAGTGTTGACAAGCCCTTAGCTATTTAAACCAGCTCAGATATTTAAAGAATGCTTGTACTTAAAGTGACAGAAATGGCATCTGGTTAGAAGTAGAGTTCTCTTGAAAGCAGCTGCCGTCATAGGTGCTGACTCCATGGGGAAAAATTTGTGGGTGCTGAGCGGCTACTGGCAGCCCCCCTCCTCTACCCCCCAGTGCTTCCTGCCCACCAGTGGGCCCCGTGGATCAGTGCCTCCCTCTCCCTCCCTGTACCTCCTGACCACCGGGATCAGCTGTTTTGCAGCATTTGGGTGGCTCTGGGGGGAAGAGGGGAGGAGTGAGGATGCGGTGTACTCAGGGAAGGGGGTGGAACTGCGTGGGAAGAGGCAGGGTGGAGGTAGAGCGGGGGCAGGAAGAAGTGGGGTGGAGGTGTGGCCTTGAGGGAAGGGGTGGAGTGGGGATGGCCTGGGGCAGAGCTGGGGATCAAGCCCTCCCCGGCACTTTTGAAAGTCAGCGCCTGTGGCTGCAGTTAGTTCTGTGGACTAGATCTTTGAAAATTTGTTTATGGCATAACTAAAAAGATGGGTGATCTGAACTTTATTGTGAGTTTCTTCTAGGACTTCATGATTTATGAGCACTGACAGTCCGCTTGCAGTGCAAATACAAGATTATTGACCACTGAACTTTGTCATAATTTTCTTTTAGGACACCGTCTATGAGCTCTTTGTGGTGTGTCACCATTCTGGGGGAATTCAGGGTGATCAGTACATGGTCGAAATAAAGTCAGTTGAAAATGATTGCTGGTACCGCTTCACTGAAACCCAGGTGCAAGAGGTAAAATGTGCTTGTGGGTTCAGGAAAAGTATGTAATGCCTTGGCCTGTGTGGGGAAGAGGTTCTGATTTGAAGATAGGTTCATTCACTTTTTCTAATACAGACAAATCTGAGTCATTCAAAATCCCAAATTCTGCATTACCTCTAGAAATGTTCATTGTCCTTCTGCATGCATTGCTCCTGCAGGTCCAAATCATGGGAGCTGCGTGCCAAGCTCATGAGTTGCAGGATGGCTGATAGATCTGTCTAAACTCTCAATGTTTTGAAAATGTTCTATAAAGAAAAATCATGCCAATCCAACCTAACTTCGTTCTTTGATAGGGTTACTGACCTACTGGGTAGGGGGAAGCAGTAGAGATGAAATATCTTGATTTTAGTAAGGCTTTTGACACAGTCTCACATGACAGACTCATAAGCCAACTAGGGAAATGTGATCTAGATGAAATTACCATTAGGTGGGTGCACAACTGGTTAAAAGACCTTACTCAGAGTTGCTATCAAGGGTTTACTAAGAGAGTGTAGCTAGTTGGGCACCGGTGATCAGTCTTGGGTCCAGACCCATGCTTATACAATGTGAGGATGACTCCAGGGGAGGGGTTGCAAGCACTTTGGAGGACATGATTAGAATCGAAAACAACCTGGACAAATTAGAGAATTGGTCCGAAATCAATGAGATGAAATTCAATAAAGACAAGTGCATAGTACTTAGGGAGGAAAAATCAAATGCACAATTACAAAATGGGAAACAACTGGCTAGGCGGTAGTACTTCTGGAAAGGATGTGGGGGTTATAGTGGATCACAAATTGAATGAGTCAACAATGTGCTCCAATTGTGAAAAAGCTAACATTCTGGGGTGTATTAACAGGCGTGTCATATGTAAGTCAAAGCAGTAATAGTCCAGCTCTACTTAGCACTGCTGAGGCCTCAGCTGTGTCCAGTTCTGGGTGTGCACTTTCAAAAACATGTGGACAAACTGGAGAGAGTCCAGATGAGGACAACAAAAATGATAAAAGGTTTAGAAAACATGACCTATGAGGAAAGGATAAAAAACTGGGCATGTCTAGTCTTTAAAAAAGAAGACAGAGGGAGTATCCTAATAAAAGTCTTCAAATGTGTTAAGAGCTGTTATAAAGAGGACAGTGATCAATTGCTCCCCTTGTCTATTAAAGATAGGACAAGAAGTAATGGGCTTAATCCACCATAAGGGAGATTTAGGTCGGATGTTATGCTACATCTACACTACAGCTGAGATCGACAGAGTGGAGGTCGATGCACTGATGGTCAATTTGGTGGGTCTAGTGAAGACCCGCGAAATCGACAACAGATTGCTCTCCAGTCAACCCCAGTGCTCTACCCTGGACAAGAAGAGTAAGGTAAGTCAATGGGAGAGTGTCTCCCATCGACCCCGCACGGTGTAGACACCGCAGGTAGTTGGCCTAAGGTAGGTCAACTCCGACTGTGTTATTCATGTAGCTGGAGTTGCGTGCCTTAGGTCGACTTACTGCGGTAGTGGAGATGTAGCCTTAGAAAAAACTTTTTAACTCGAAGCACAGTTAAGCTCTGGAATAGGCTTCCAAGAGAGGTTGTGGAATCCCCATCACCGGAGATTTTTAAGAGCAGGTTGGACAAACACCCATCAGAGATAATCTAGGTTTACATTCTCATGTCATAGTTCAGGGGCCTGGACTTTGACCTCTTGAGGACCTTCGCAGTCCCACATTTCTCTAACTCTGTGAAACTTTTTTGTTTCCTTTGCTTGGATTCTTTTCATTACAACATAGATTGGTCAGCTCAAGCAAAGTTTAGTGGGATATTTTAAAACTGAAAAATTGTCAGTTTGAAATTAAAAAATGCCATTTGTGAAATCTACCATTTTCTAAAGAGAGTTTCTGTAGAAAAGTGTGTAAAAAGTGACAAATAAGTCAATTTAAAAAATCCAGCATAACAAAAAGTGTCTGAAATTTTGAAAATGTTCACAGGAATTGTTTATTCTTCAGCCAGCTCTAACACTAGAGCTGTAAACTTCTTTGTGCTGCTGTTGGAGGTTCGTTGTGGAGCTGCCTGTATGGAAATGGCTTGATTCTAGCCAAGTTACTCTTGTGTGTGCGATTATCTTCTGGGTGGGGTTTGTCAGGTGTTCTGACTATATTTAGATAATTACAGTTATGCCTATGTATACTGTTCAGCGATGCTTCAGCTGATGGTGAGGTCAGGGGAGGGACTTTGTTTCTCCCCTTGCCACGTGTGTCCCCTGTATCTATGGAGTGAGAATGGAAATATAGACGAGGAAAACCTAGTTTTAGTGTAAAATCTGTCTAAAACCAGAGACATTCGATCTCCCAAAGTTCAGCAATGATTCTGAATGACTTTCCCCCAGCTCTGTAACTGTCCACTGTTGCCTCGTACTGTGGCAGTGAAGATGGATCTTTTATTGTTCTCAAATGCTGAGAAAAATATGGGTAGAGCATTGTCAGTCCCCTGCTCTTCTCCATTCTCAGTTGTAGAATATTTCTCCCCACATTTTGTGCCTCTGACCCTAAGGTAACTGTCCTTGGCTGAGGGAAGCAGAGTGAGTCTTCATAGACTTAGTCAGGGCAGCTCCCAGCTTCAGCAGAGGGTCACATAGAATGATTCATCTCTCAGCACTGGGCACACAATCCCCAGAGTGCCTTCAGCCCTTTCTGGTAAGGGAGATACGGCTGGCACAGCTGGGGGAAGGAGTGAGCAAAGTCGGCTGTGGCCCACCTCTACTTTCCCCAGTCCTGTGGCCAGTTGGCTGGCAGGCCAGTCTCTGAAATAAATTACAGCAGCCTCAGGCCTGATCTAAATTACATCCCTCTGTCCATGGCCTCATGGGGCTGCTCTAACAGGTTGGGTAGGGGGTTGGAGTTGAGGCACAAAGACTGCAGTATGCCTCATGAGGATCCCTGTTATACAGGGCAATTTTTAGGGAGCTGGTTGAAATGAATATATTTAACCTGACTGGACCTGAGAACCAGCCCTCAAAGCTGTGCACAAAACAAAATATGCAAACTTTCTGTAAAGGGCTCTGGTCAGTGTAGTACAAGGGCTCTAATGAGAACTTCCCCTATAGGGAATAGAAAACTAAGTAAGCCAAATTCTGCTCTCATTTATGCAAATTAAATCTTATTCACTTGAAGCCATTAGAGTTGCTCTGGATTTACTCTAGTGTAAATGAAAGCAGAATTTGGCCTACATCTATTACTGTGTTACCACCTGGTTGTGCCCCATTTAGCCTCACCTCAACACAATATGGTGTTCGAAAAGCACAGCATTCCTCCTGCCCCAGGTATAGTACCGTCCTATTGGATGAGAGACAAATTCATAGAAACATAGGCCTGGGAAGGACCACAAAGTTGTTAAGAATGTTGATGAACAATGTTGTTACTGCTGCCAGGTTGTTACCGCTGCTCAGAGCTTCTGTTTGTGGAACTCCAGTGTTATTAACACAAGCAGATAGTGCACCCTCCTAATTCAACAGACCTCAATGTTTGTTACTCACAGAGAACGACCACAGGCACAGTTCAGTGAAAAAGGCACTCAGCCAGGTTTATTGCCCTCAAGGCACAGTCCTAGTGTCCTATAGGTGCTACCGGTACACTAAAATGAGTGCCCAGTGGCAAGGAATGACTTAGTCAGCAGCAGGAATTTCTTCTGTCCCCTCAGCTGCACAAAGGGCTAAAGTGAGGTACCCCAACATTTATAGACCGAGACAAACAACTTATGTACCATTTTATGTGTTTTATGACATCTGGTTCTTACTTCCCCTTGTACCTTGCTCCAGAAGTCTTGGGTAAAAAGAATCCCTATTCATCACTTCTGTCAGACCCTTTTCTCTTGTTCAAGCTCAGGATGTCACTGGGCTAATCTTCTGGAGTACGTTCACATACATACCCAGCATCTGTTGCTTCTTAGCAGTGCCTCTGTTTTAGCAACACTAGCAGTACCCTTGCTAAGTTCATGCCTCGGACAGTGAGCTTGTAAACATCTGCTTTAATACATGGCCTGTCTTTGGTTCACAGCCCCTGGTTCAGGCCTCAAGTCTTGCACCAGGCCCAGTGCTCTACATCTCTCCCTACTACACTGGACAGGTCATCTAGTCCAGTCCCCTACACTGAGGCAGGACTAAGTATTATCTAGACTGTGACTGACAGGTGTTTGTTGAACCTATTCCTAAAACCCCCCAGTGACGGAGCTGCCACAACATCCCTAGGTAATTTGTTCTAATGCTTAGCTACCCTGATAGTTAGGAATTTTTTCCTAATGTCTACCCTAAATCTCCCTTACTCCAATTTAAACCCATTGCTTCTTATCCTGTCCTCAACTGTTAAGGTGAACAATTTATCACACTCCTCTCTATAACAACGTTTTACGTACTTCAAGACTTATAATGTCCTCCCCCTGTCAGTTTTCTCTTCTCCAGACTAAACAAACCCAGTTCTTTCAATCTTCCCTCACAGCTCATGTTTTCTAGACCTTCAGTCATTTTTGTTGCTTTTCTTTGGACTTTCTCCAATTTGCCTACATCTTTCCTGAAGTGTGGTGCCCAGAACTGGACACAGTACTCCAGTTGAGGTGAGGCCTTATCAGTGTGGAGTAGAGCGGAAGAATTACTTCTTGTGTCTTGCTTACAACACTCTTGCTAATACATCCCAGAATGATATTTGCTTTTTTTGCAATAGTATTACATTTTTGACCCCTATTTAGTTTGTGATCCACTGTATCCCCCAGATCCTTTTCTGCAGTACTTTTTCCTAGGCAGTCATTTCCCATGTTGCATTTGTGCAATTGATTGTTCCTTCCTAAGTGGAGTACTTAGCATTTGTCCTTATTAAATTTCATCCTATTTACCTCAGACCATTTCTCCAGTTTGTCCAGATCATTTTGAGTTCTAATCCTGTCCTTCAAAGTGCTTACAACGCCTCCCAGCTTGGTGTTGCCTGTAAACTTTATAAGTGCTCTCTCTATGCCATTATCCAATGAACATCTGAAGTGACTGTTCACATGGAAATTAAATATTCTATTGAAATTTACTGTTGATCTATGATATTTATACGGTCCCCAGAATCACATTATCTGAGTGCCTTACAATCTTTAACAGATTTATTCTCACACACCCCTGTGAGGCAGAGCAGTGCTGTTACCTCCATTTTACAGATGGGGACTGGTGACACAGAGGATATGTCCACACTGCAGTTAAGCACCCGGGGCTGGCCCATGTAGGCCAACTTGGGCTAGCAGGGGCTCAGGCTAAGGAGCTGTTTAATTGTGGTATAGCTTTTTGAGTTTGGGCTGGAGCCTCATCTCTGGGACCTTCACCCCTTGCAGGGTCCCAGAGCTTAGCCTCCAGCAAAGGTCTATTATGCAATTAAAGAGCCCTCTAGCCTGAGCCCTATGAGCCCAAGTCAGCTGGCATGGGCCAGTCGCAGGTGCTTAAATTGGAGCATAGATGTACCCAGACAGATTAAGTGACTTGCCAAAGGTCACACAGAAAGTCTGAGAAAATTGAATTCTCTGCAGAGCATAGAATTGAACCCAGGTGTCCCAAGTTAGTGCCATACCCACTGGACTACTTTCCTTACTGCTGGAACAGGGCAGAGTAAGTCCCGCTCCCAGTAACTGGTGTTAAAATTAAGATGTACATTAATCACCCATTACGTTACAGCTACAGCCATAAGGATACAGGAGATATCGCCTTCACCTCCATCCAGTGCCTGATATTTAATAAATACTTTAGAAGTTGCCTTGGGAAATGATCCATTCTATTCTTTTTTACAGATCCCAGAAGGACAGATCTGCTTGGATGAACAGCACAGGTATCTCCAATCCCCATTTTGGGAATCACTCTTTCAGCCATTCCAATGCCAATGTGATGTTTTCGGAGCTCCGACTGAGTTGGTCCTGTCAGGTCCCCATAGTGACTATTTTTGTTCTCCTTCAAGTACTAGAATTGACCCACTTTGCCATATACTCCCATGTACTCTACATGTACTCCCAGCCTAGAGTCACAGGCCTGCTAGGAAGCAGTGTATGCTATATCAGACAGGAAAATGAGCCAGGGCATGTAAGGAGCTACACCCTTGCCCTATCCACCCCTTGCTCCCCAGTGAAGCAGTGAGGGTGTACCCATTAGGGTCTGTTTAAACTGCAGTGTAAGCCCAGGGTTAGTGGGACTCGAGTCAGCTGACCCATGTTAGAGAATTCTAGGCTTGAGCATCTGCACTGGTTTTTAATGGGTTTTTAATATGATGGGGCAAGGCCAGATGGCTATAGGAAAGTAATGAGAAACAGGTATATTAGCCCCAGGCTAAACAAATCCCTGTTACCATGGTAACCAAATGGCAGTTGCTCCAGGTCAAATAAGACACCTGAGGCCAATTAAGATCCTTCTAGAAAGCAGTGGAGACAGCTAGGTTGATTGGGACACCTGAAGCCAATCAAGGGCAGGCTGGAACTAGTTAAGAGCCTCCCAGTTAGTCAGTTAGGGAGGCATGTCAGAAGCTGTCAGAGGAAGCCACGCTGCTGGAGAAACTGGGCAGTGCAAACACTATCAGGCACAAGGAAGGAGGCCTTGAGGTAAGGGTAAAGGAGATATTGAGGAACGGGGGGCTGCTGTGGGGAAGTGGCCCATGGAATTGTACCTGTCCTGTTGTTGTTAAAAAGTCAGCTACCAATAGCTCCTACTATTAGGGTCTCTGGGCCGGAGCCTGGAGTAGAGGGTGGGCCCAGGCTCTATCTTCCCCCTCCCCAGTCAATCATGGAGACTGTGGGACAACAGACACTGTGCGAGGGAGGGTTGCTTCTTCCCACCTCCCTTACTGGCCGATGATGAGAGTGGCTAAAACAGACTGAAGCATGCCCCTGAGAACTATAGTGAGCCACTGAGGTGAGCACTAGAACTGGGAGTTGCAGGTTTTTCCCTGGAAAGGGATAGAATTCTCAGACTACTGCTAACCAGAAGCACGGAGAGAAGGAGCTTCATCACAATTAAGACTTTTCTAACCTGGGCTTGAACCTGGAGGTCTGGCATCCAGACTGCAGCACGCAGCCCTGAGTCAAAACCACTGTATTGAGGAGTCCCTAGCTTCCTCCTGAAATGTGGCTTCTCTAGCATTTTGACTGTGGTGCACTGTGGGGAGAACTTTACAGCTCACCCTGCACATTATAGGAAGTTTGAACAGCCCATCAACACAGCCTCTGGAGCAGTTTTTCTTGTCTGTGCATTCCCAACTACTAGAGCCAGCAACGTGAAGGAGGGACCTTTAGAACAGGGGTTTTCAAACTTTGGGTCATGGCTCGTCTGGGTAAGCCGTTGGCAGGCTATGAGATGGTTTGTTTACCTGAGCGTCTGCAAGCACAGCAGCTCACAACTCTCAGTGGCTGTGGTTCACTGACCCAGCCTGCACCACTTCCCGCAGCTCCCATTGGCTGGGAACGGCAAACTGCAGCCACTGGGAGCTGCTGTGAGCGGCCATGCCTGCGGACACTCAGGTAAACAAAGCATCTTGCGGCCCTCCAGCAGCTTACTCTGATGAGCCATGACCCAAAGTTTGAAAACCCCTGCTTTAGAAGAACTTGTTTTGCCTGTGCTTTCACTCCTGTGTCAGGAAATTGGCATTCGTGCTCCTTGCTCAGAGTCTTCTGCTGGCTCCCATCAGTCCCCAAGCTAGATTCAGGTGACAGCAAGGCATCATTCTAGTTGATGAGCACCACAGTTGGCTCTGTGCTGGGCACAGTGCCCAGCACCCAGTCAAACTCCTCCTATAATGGGCATGACATTGGCAAGTTGCCCAAGGCATGGGCTTGGTTCTGGTCCCTGACCTTCTGGTACTCACTCTTCAGTCTCTTACTATGCTCCCTGAACTGGTCATCTGTCTGTAAAATCTGCAAAGCTGCCAGCTTTTTAGCTATCTGCTGGTATGCATGGCCATTTCTGGTGCTTTTGCCGAAATCCACAGTTTTACTGGTCTCGTACCAGAGATTCACCAAAATTTGGCTGTGCTCCTGTGATCAAGAAGGAGCTCGCTTTGCAAAAGGTTTGCTCGGTTCGGTCTCCATGGCAAACCCAGGAGGGTCTCCAAAGTTGTACTTGCAGCTCGGTGCTCATATGGTAATGGGTTAATGCAGACTAACTGAGCAGCTGCTGCACTCTGGGAGGGGTGGTTTCCATTTTGAATGGAAGATTGTTGGGATAGAGAGGACAAAGGAAGTCAGCCCTTGGAATTGTGGGGTTTTTCTGGCAGACTCTCAGGACACAAGATGAGGAGAGCTGTGTTCACATAGCAAAGCAATAGGGCTCAGACCTTGGGTCCCATCTTGACTCATGCTCAGACCCTGAAGCCCTGCAGGGTCCTGGGACCTTGGGTCCAAGCCCTGGGTTAGAGCAATTTCAGTGTAGATAGCAGCGGAGTGGGAGGTAAGCTTCAGCCAGAGCTTCAGCCTGGGCGCTTATTGCAATGTAGACATACCCTTAGGCTCCTCTTGTCCTTTGCATCCATTTTTCCCATGTTCTCTATCAGTTGTAGTGGTCCCTAGGTAAGTCAGTTTTTAGCATACTTAAAAAAAATGATTTTCTACATATCTGTAGAAACTCCTACCATCCCCTGGCATTGACTGTGGGCTCGGCTAGGAGGTCAGATTTCAGTGTGATGTAAACACATTGCCATCAGGCTAGTAAACCTGGCTTCTCAGTGCTTGGGTGAGGGGAGCTCCTCAAAGGGATATCTTTTCTGTGCAATGTTGCCCCCCACCCCAACTCTGCCTGGAGCAGAAGGACCATTTAAAACTGTTTTTCCTGGCAGAAGTTTTTCAGGCTTGCTAGGTAAAGGTAATTTCCACTTTAGTCTAGACTCAGAATCCTCGATTCCAGCAGCTATTGCCTTGTTCTGCATGGCAAAGCATTTGACAGTCTTGAAGAACTGTTTAGACTCTAAGGCCTGCTAAATGATTCAGGTTGTCAGGGCCATGTGCTAGGCCAGTGGCCTTAGAGCAGGCTGAATCTTCTGTGGCTGGGAAGGAGATAATACAGCAGGAGACCGGATCTGTCATGTTATTTAGATGTTACTTTTGCATCCCATGGCTAGCGCTTCATCTTAGGTTTCCTTAATGCTGTCATGATTAACCATTCAGTAACCATACAAGATGGGCCCCTTCACTTTATTAACCCAAGTGTACAGGAAAATATTAAGTTACATTTTTTAAATTAATTTTTGGAATGTTAATGATATTGCAACCAAAACACTGTTTACGTATACAGCTGGAGATTTGTCCATTTCCCCCATCAAATGCAAAAATCAGAGAAAGGAGAATAGCAAAAGAGCAGGCAGTCTGTTGGTAGGTGGGTGGTTGCAGGCTAGAGTCATGGCTCAGTCTTTGGTTCATCTGAGGTCAGAGTGCAAAGTTCGGGTCAGAGGTGCAGTCTCATTATTGATCTAAATTTTCCCTCCTCTCTCCCAATAGTGAGAGCAAGCTTCAGGTGAGCATGGAAAAGCAAATCTGTGAATAGTTAACATATGTTGGTAACATCCAAGAAACCCCATTGCTGAGGTTCAAAAGGCTTGATGCTTATAACTTGAGTGGAAAATAAGCTAAACAAAAAAAGTGTGTGTGTGTGGGGGGGGAACTGAGTCAAAACAAAACTGACAAAACAAAGACAAGTACTGGTTCCACTTTGCTTTCTTAGTTTTGTAATTCCCAATCAGTGGGAAATGATTGTGCTATTCACAATTGTTCTCGCAGAGGTAGGTCTTCTGACCCAAACAATATGATTGTGAAAATAGGGGAACTTTGTTTTGAAAAGTGGACTCTTGTTCATTTCTTGTGGGTTGTCTCAAAATTCAACCAAGGTTACCATGGGATGGGTGCAAGGGGTGGCATCCACTGGACTAGGTGTTAATACATATGTCTCTTGTTTCTGCCATAGTGCCACCGTATCTCTGTTAATGTACCACAGGGTGAATTCTGATGCTAGGCCAAGTAAGTGACATTCATTGATTGTTTATAAGTTGCTGCCAAGGATGAGCTTGGCCCATGTACTGAAAAACTTGCTTCGTACCACTTGACTGGCAAGTGAGAGAAGGAGCTGCTGCAATTTCCTCTAGTGGGAGGGTCTGGGAGAGGCCTGTTCTATCAACGTTCTGTTTCCGTGAGAACTGGGTACATGGAAAATGTAACCCTGGCAAGGGGTTTGGGAATGGGGAGTGTAGCCTTGTATTTTGTTTAAAGTGAATTTTGTAATGTGGTATTACACCATCGTGGGTTCAGCTCTGGTGGCTACAATTTCAAGCTTAACAGAGGGAAAGTCACCTCTGCTACTTGCTTCAGATTTAGAGTCTCTAGCAGGGGGTGGAGAAGGCGGACCCATAATGATAGCCTAAAGCCAACAGGCCCGGTGCAGTTTTTTATCCCCCAAGGAAAAACATTGCAAAGGGAAAGGCAAATGTGCAGCCATTAGTGACTAAATATATAGATGCTTTTGCTAAACACGAGTGTTCCAGAGATGTTGTTCGGAGTGCAACAAAATTGCTCATTCCATATAGACGTCAATCCTCAGGGATTCTAGAAAGAACAAATCACACCATCAAGCTAATGCTGCGGAAACTGGTAGATGCCAATGGATGCAGTTGGAATACCCTGATTCCATTCATTTTAATGGCACTCGGGGAACTCCCACTACTGCCACCACAGATCATACCCCCTTTGAGGTGATGACTGGGCAAACCATGTGTCAAGGTTCCTTCCCCGCTCTGAACTCTAGGGTACAGATGTGGGGACCTGCATGAAAACCTCCTAAGCTGACTTTTACCAGTTTAGGCTAAAACTTCCCCAAGGTACAAACTATTTTACCCTTTGCCCTTGGACTTCCACTGCCACCACCAAACTTTATCTGGGTTCCTGAGAAAACGTAGTTTGGAAATGTCTTTCCCCCCAAAATCCTCCCAACCCTTGCACCCCACTTTCTGGGGAAGGTTTGGTAAAAATCCTCACCAATTTGCATAGGTGACCACAGACCCAAACTCTTGGATCTTAGAACAATGAAAAAGCATTCAGTTTCCTTACAAGAAGGCTTTTAATAGAAGTAAAAAAGAATCACCTCTGTAAAATCAGGATGGTAAATACCTTACAGGGTAATTAGATTCAAAACATAGAGAATCCCTCTAGGCAAAACCTTAAGTTACAAAAAAGACACACAGACAGGAATATTCATTGTATTCAACACAGCTATTTTCTCAGCCATTTCAAGAAATCATAATCTAACACATACCTAGCTAGTTTACTTACTAAGTTCTAAGACTCCATTCCTGTTCTATCCCTGGCAAAAGCATCACACAGACAGACACAGACCCTTTGTTTTTCTCCCTCCTCCCAGCTTTTGAAAGTATCTTGTCTCCTCATTGGTCATTTTGGTCAGGTGTCAGCAAGGTTATCTTTAGTTTCTTAACCCTTTACAGGTGAAAGGATTTTTCCTCTGGCCAGGAGGGATTTTAAACTAGGGGAACTCCCACTACTGCCACCACAGATCATACCCCCTTTGAGGTGATGACTGGGCAAACCATGTATATGCCAAAGCATCTTTTGTAGCATACCAGTGGCACACATATCAGCATTTCTTAACTCTATGGCCTAGTATGGCTAAGCTAATATCTTACAGGCCTCAGGCTGTAGGCCTTGCGTTTCAGCCTTACTTACTTAGAGACCTAATACATGATTATTCCCTCTACATACTGATCAATCTGATACTTCTATAATCTTACAACTTAACTCTGTTTAGCATACAATGATTATGTATGACATAACATGTTAATAAATTATAATATCACACAATAAATGAACAATAAACTAAAATCACTGGCTACAGGAGGCAGAGCCTTAATTCCCCTGGCTGAAATGGTAGTGTCATTGAGACCCATTGCCTCTGGTCACCTACTGCTCTTCACTCATCTCTAGTGCAACCTGAGATTTCCTTTTGCAGCTCTGAATGAAATGTACTGAATAGTTATCACATCTACCCTTCCTTCATCTCACTCAGCATGGCAGCCTCCCAATCCTTCCGAACCCAGACACGCTCCCCCTGGATAGTACTTTATCCTCACCTTAGACACCTGCTTCTTTTTAGTAATATAAGCTTTGTGGCTCTTCAGACCTTTCCCATTACCCCAGTGGTGCTCACCCTGTTCAGCCGGAGGCTCGACATGAGATTGAAAAAAGGGCCCTCAATCAGTACTCTTTTTCTGTACACTTTTGCATATGGTATATGTATAATTATTACATATAAAGATCACCATCTGCTGGCACATAAGGCTAATAGTGTCTATTGTATTCATCATAAATATATAGGTTTAATAAAATGTTTGTTGTTATGCAGAGCAGATAGCTGCCTGTGTGCAGCTCTTAACATAGTGTCAGAAGTAAAAGAGCTGTTACTGCTTTAGGTGGTGGTTGTAGCTGACCAGAGTCATTGAGTCACATTTTAGCTGTGGTCTCTGCGACTACCTATTCACTCTCTGCTATTATGAAAATACATGGGGATATTAGTGAAAACTGGAGCTTCTTTGTGGCCTTCTGAGCAAACTGACTCAAGAAAGCATGCAAATCAGAGTGGCCACATTGAAGGTAGCAGACGAAGAAAAGCAAGATGCAACTACAGTCCTAGAAGATTTAGAAAAAAAACCCCAAAACTTTGTATTTCAAAGAAATGTAATATATGAGTGGTATATTCTCAACACATCTGATCTAAGGGAAAGAACCTGTGGACCAATATGCAACCAGACCGCACTAATTAGCTTCAATCGCACAAATTTGGCACGCTTGCACATGAACTTGTTAGAGATCAGAAAGATTTAGGCACAAAAGGCAATGAAACCAGATTGCATATGTTATGACAATCAGATGAAATTTAACCATGCTATTTGATATATGCCATAAGAGCAACCAAGCAAAGAAACCGTTACAAAAATGGAAATCGTTAACAATATAAAAGGCATACAACATATACAAGATAGACACAAACGCAGATGAAAACAAAGAGAACGTTGGTTTGCAAAGAAGGGCAAGCAATACATGCACTGTTGGAGAAACAGTTAAAAAGGCAAATGTCCAGCTTAGGTGCCATAGGTGCTTACTGCCATAAAATAAATCATTCTGCAAAAGTACTCAAACAGCAACAGAATGACAGCTTTCCAGGTTAGCTTTTCTCATACCACCTGCAGCGTTTGAGCTGAAGAGAGGGAAGTGGAGAAGCGTGATTTGCACAACTAAACCTTCAGGAATCACTAAGTCAAACAGATCCGACATTCATAGATCAAATTTTGAAGTACTTCAAGGAGAGGAAAGTGACCAGTCAGCGTGGATTCACCCAGGACAAGTCATGCCTAAGTAAGCTACTTGCCTTCTATGTTGAGATAACTGGCTCTGTGGATGAGGAGAAAGCAGTGGACATGTTATTCCTTGACTTTAGCAAAGCTTTTGATACGGTCTCACACAGTATTCTTGCCAGCAAGTTCAAGAAGGATGGGCTGGATGAATGGACTATAAGGTGGATAGAAAGCTGGCTAGATCATTGGGCTCAACAGGTAGTGATCAATGATTCCATGTCTAGTTGGCAGCCGGTATCAAGTGGAGTGCCTCAAGGGTCAGTCCTGGGGCTGGTTTTGTTCAATATCTTGATTAATGATCTGGAGGATGGTGTGGATTGGACCCTCAGCAAGATTGCAGATGACACTAAACTGGGAGGAGTGGTAGATACGCTGGAGGGTAGGGATAGGACACAGAGGGAGCTAGACAAATTAGAGGATTGGGCCAAAAGAATTCTGATGAGGTTCAACAAGGACAAGTGCAGAGTCCTGCACTTCGGATGGAAGAATCCCATGCACCGCTACAGATTAGGGACCAAGTGGATAGGCAGCAGTTCTGCAGAAAAGGACCTAGGGGTTACAGTGGATGAGAAGCTGGATGTGAGTCAACAGTGTGCCCTTGTTGCCAAGAAGGCTAACAGCATTTTGGGCTGTATAAGTAGGAGCATAGCGAATGTGATCGTTCCCCTCTATTCGACACTGGTGAGGCCTCATCTGGAGCACTGTGTCCAGTTTTGGGCCCCACGCTACAAGAAGGATGTGGAAAAATCGGAAGGAGTTCAGCTGACGGCAATAAAAATGATTAGGGGACTGGAGCACATGATTTATGAGGAGAGGCTGAGGGAACTGGGATTATTTAGTTTGCAGAAGAGAAGAATGAGGGGGGATTTGATAGCTGCTTTCAACAACCTGAAAGGGGGTTCCAAAGAGGATGGATCTAGACTGTTCTCAGTGATAGCCGATGACAGAACAAGGAGTAATGGTCTCAAGTTGCAGTGGGGGAGGTTTAGGTTGGATATAAGGAAAAACTTTTTCACTAGGAGGGTGGTGAAGCACTGAAATGGGTTACCTAGGGAGGTGGTGGAATCTCCTTCCTTAGAGGTTTTTAAGGTCAGGCTTGACAAAGCCCTCCTGGGATGACTTAGTTGGCGATTGGTCCTGCTTTGAGCAGGGGGTTGGACTAGATGACCTCCTGAGGTCCCTTCCAACCCTGATATTCTATGATTCTATGATTGTGACACAAAATAAAGCACCCAAAGTGGAAGAACACTGTCGTTGCCTAGGAATTTCAGATTTTGAAGTCCATTGAATGAAATTCGGTTACAGGAAGAAAAATGTTACGGGAGTTGTATATAAGAAGTAGTAGTTACATATCTTTGTGTGTGTTCACCCTGCCACCAGAGAGGCAGGGAGCGGTATGCACCAATAATGCCTCTTGCTGCACCAGAACAATGTGCATATGTAACCCATGTGCCTAATAGGGAGATATCTTTTTAAGAGACCCATTGAGGGTCGGGTAGGAGTGGGTTGTGTCTGGGTCATTGTTGCTAGGCTGATTAAGCCCTCACATCCAGAAGCTTCTGGAATTGGGTATGGTAGTTTGGGGTCTGCTCCAGTAGGTTCCCTGTTGCTGGGGTCAGACTCCATGAGGGGGAGCGGTCAGGGCAGCTGCTTTGCAAAGGGCCATGTGCCCCGGGTGAGCTGGGAGACGCTGAGTCCAGGAGCAGGAAGCAGGCTGGTGTCCCTAACCCTGGAGCTTTTTGCAGCAGTTTAGTGATAATGTTACCCTCCAACAGGGAAGCCCTGGCAGTGCTTATTATAGCCAGGGGGAAATTGGGAGGGAAAAATAATGTCTTCGATTTTAATCGCGTGCTTTGAATGTGGTTTTGATTTTAGTCAAACTGTTCTAGTTAAATTGTCCCGACTAGTCGGAGTCACCAACTCTTCTTTAAATGTAGTAGTGGGACAGAGCTATTTCTATTTTGCTAGTCTTAGTTTTGTATTTTCTTGTAACAGGATTTTCTTTAAATCTATACACTTAAGCGCCGCCTGGCCACAGCCTGCAACCCTGCATCCCAGCCCTGAGCCCCCCCCACAACCAAACTCCCTCCCCAAGCCCGTATCCTCTCCTGCACCCCAGCCCTGAGCCCCCCCCACAACCAAACTCCCTCCCCGAGCCCGTATCCCCTCCTGCACCCCAGGCCTGAGCCCCCCACACAACCAAACTCTCTCCAAGGGTCCCTACCCCCTCCTGCACCCTAACCCCCTGCCCGGCTCAGCCCCGAGCCCCCTTCCACACTGTGAACTCCTCAGCCCCAGCTCAGAGCCCGCTCCCCCTGCCCCATCTCAGTGAAAGTGAGTGAGCGTGGTGGGATGGAGTGAGCGGGGGCGAGGCCTCAGGGAAGGGGCAGGGGCAGGGCAAGGGTGTTTGGGTTTTTCGGATTAGACAGTTGGCAACCCTACAGAACAGGCCCTTCACAATTAACACCCCTCCCAAGCTCCCCTCAGCCAATTGACCCCCCAAATTCTCCCCTCTCCAATTGATCCCTCCTACCAAGCTCCTCCCTCCCCTCATCCCTGGCCCCATCCTGAATTTCCCCCTCTCTAGCCCCCGAGGAGCCCCGTGAGTTCAACCCCTCCCCACTGCTCCCCAGGCGGTCAGTTATGTCGGTTTAACTGTCACCTCAGGGACATTCTGAGCTCCCCTCCCCCCAAGGGGCCACCTGGGCCCTCGTTAGCATCAGGGGACGGGGACTTATTTGCATAGATGAGGCTGGAGCAGCCAATCAGGAGCTGGCCTGGGTACTGCGGGGCTATATAGGGCTCCCCAGGGCTTGCAGACCTCTGTGCTGGGAGCCTTGGCTGCAGGGTCGCAGACAGTGGCAGGGGGAGGCTGCCCCAGGCAGATGCTGCGGGCTCAGGGGCAGTGGGAGACTATGGTACCCAGAGCGGGCTGCATGGAGAGGGCAGGAGCGGGGGTCCCTGGGTATGGGAGCTGGGAGTCCAGGAGCAGAACTGGGCCCTCGTTGGGACCGGAGTCTCCATGTCTGTCACAGCTGTGTCCCTCTCCCTTCTTGTGTTGTCTTTCCATTGATTTCACTGGGTTTTGGGTCAGGCCCTCAGCCATTCTATGAGGTGCCTAATTCCATGTTCCTTATAATACAGGGGCAACCTTCTTTCTTCGTCACTCTCCCAACCGCACCATAGGGGTTCAGTCCAACTGATTAATTTTGCATGAACCACACATTGATCACTGCGATTTAATGTGAGGAAAATTGTATTTACCCCACCCCCAACTTCACCAGTGCAGAAGGCACTCAGAGACCATAGACAAGAGTGGGCTATAAATGAGGAGATTCCAAGAGGCAGGGTAACTGGTGTTCATGCACTATGCAGTATAGGGCTGGTAAGCCAGCCTGTTTCCCACCAGAAGGCCAAAAGTATTTCTGATACAGCTTAACTATAACCATGAGCAGTGATTTGAGCAGAGGAAGGGTCTGCATGGATTCCAGCTGAAGATTCCTACAAACCAGTGGAGGGAAGATGTTGTTTTAGACTCAGCAGATTGTATAGATTTTGTGATCAAAGACTCTGAGACTTAGGTGAACAAAACCTAAGCTTTTGGGAACTTTCAGTTTCTTCTCACTGTATTTCTGTGGGGACTGAACTGTTCAGATTTTAATTAGTTTTCTTAATTTACGTTTATGTATAACTGTGAAGGTAATGTCCATGGATAATAAAATAGCCATGTCATGCTGTAAAAATTAGATTATTATTTGTTTCTTTCTCATAAGATTTTATAAAGTTATTTAATTAAATTCATTTCTTTAGTTCCTTTTGGGACTTGAATGTGGGGAGGTTGACCCAGTGCAATCCTTGCTGAAAATCCTTAGAGACTGAACTCTGGGTCTCCAGCTACTCTTCTGTGGGAGTTGGGGCTGGTTTTCGTAGGCACTGGAGGTGGGAAATGAAGTGAACTCTATCCCACCCAAAGGTTACACATACATGCCCGTACACCTGAGGTCTCTGATTCAGGGCCCTCTTAGGCCTCTATCCAAGATAGATAATGGTCTCCCCCCTCTTTCCATTCTGCAAGCACTGTTCTGAATATCATTGTAGCACTAAGAGATAGTGTCCATTTATGGCGTCCTTGCTGCAGGTTGCCGAGTGTGCTGTGGAGGAAAGATGACTGTCTCCTAGTACTGTTTCTGTCTCATTAAATCATAGGTATTCCTGCTGTGACATCTGCTGAGTCTATGGGGAACTTAGACACTGATGATACATCCAGCCAAGGCTCCTCACCTGCACGTGAAACTCAGATTTCTTGGGAGATGGAGAATGCTGCCATGCAAGAGGGTGGATCACCAGCTTCCATCAGGAGCGCACACCCAGAACAGCCATGCTGTGTCAGACCAAAGGTCCATCTAGCCCAGTCTCCTGTCTTCCAACAGCGGCCAGTACCAGGTGCCCCAGAGGAAATGAACAGAACAGGTAATCCTCAAGTGATCCATCCTCTGTCACCGGTTCTCAGCTTCTGGCAAACAGAGGCTAGGGACACCATCCCTGCCCATGCTGGCTCATAGCCATTGATGGACTTGTCCTCCATGAATTTATCTAGTTCTTTTTTTGAACCCTGTTATAGTCTTGGCCTTCACAATGTCCCCTGGCCAAGAATTCCACAGGTTGCCTGTGTGTTGTGTGAAGAAATCCTTCCTTTTGATTTTTTTAAACCTTCTGCCTATTAATTTCATTTGGTGACCCCTCGTTCTTGTGTTATTCGAAGGAGTAAATAACACTTCCTTATTTACTTTCTCCACACCTGTCATGATTTTATAGACTTCAATCGTATCTCCCCTTAGCCGTCTCTTTTCCAAGCTGAAAAGTCCCAATCTTATTAATCTCTCGTCATTTGGAAGCTGTTTCAGACCCGTAATCATTTTTGTTGCCCTTTTCTCAATCTTTTCCAATTCCAATATATCTTTTTTAAGATGGGGTGACCACATCTGCACAAAACAAAGTTCCACATTGGTACGGAACCGAGACCTTTCAAGTTTATTTTATTTTCCTGTGTAAATCCAGAGCGAGAGACCAACCCAGAATAGCCGCTAGTCTGCTGGTTGGGGCACTTGCGTGGGAGGTGGGGTCCCAAATTATGAAGAGCAGGGACTTGAACGTGGGTTTGACAGGTCATGCCTGCTGGTCTGTTTTCTCATGCAAATGGCTCTAACGCCTCCGGTTTGTAAACACTGAGGTGTAATGTATTTGTTTTATTTCAACCACCACCCTTTACAGGCCTGGGCAGCAATCCCTCATGGGGCAGGCCCAGCGTCACGTGATGCAGGTTTTCCAATCCCATTGTTCCATGGGCATCCTACTACATTGGCAGCTGCTTTTCAGCTGAAGGGGTGGTGGGAGGGAGGAGTGTGTGACAGGGAGTGTGTGTGTGTGTATGGAGTGGGAGAGCGAGACGGTGTGTTTTGGGGGACAGAGAATGTGTCTGCATGCTGTCTTGTAAGTTCAGACAGTGGCAGAAAGCAACCAATCCTGAGGCAGGGGGAGGGGGAAACCCCGACATCAGCCCCAGCCTCCCTCTCTGGTCTCTCTGCACAGCAATCTCTCTCTCTCTCACACACACGCACACGCAGACACCTGCCTCTGTGTTCAACAGCACAAGCATTCCACATTAATGGTTTGCTTTGTGTCCCGGAGCAGATCAGCACAGCGTGCAAGGGCTGTCAGAAATGGTGCTTTGAAAGGGGAGCGGCGCATGTCTCCAGGACAGCCGAGTTCAAAACAATGAGCATAGCGGTCATTCGAGGCATTATGGGACAGGTCCGGAGGCTAATTACAGCACAGAAGGCAATCAAGTGTCTACACTGGCAATACGGCGCTGGGGCCTCTGCGCAAATAGCCTCACAACTTTTGTAGAGGTGGGTTTTTGTGCAGCGCTGCGACTGAGGAGTTTCTGTGCACAAAGTGGCTTGGCAGTGTGTATCTGTCTGCAGTTTGAGCACAAAAAGCTGCTGTACTACGCAGAAACTTGCCAGTGTAGACAAGCCCCTAGATTGTTCAGCCCTGAAACAGTAAAAGGCGATTGACACTTAACCGTGTTATCATTTGCCTTTAGAATTAGCATCTTATGAGATTAATAGTGTGGATGGAGAAGTTGCGAATTCATCCATTGTTTCATGCTGGCTGCAGACATAGAAACACCTGCCTTGCTTTATACTTGATTCACATTTGGAAGGTTTTTCTGTGCAGCCATGTGGACTAGAAATGTATTTTTTAAAATCAACACTTAGACTGCATATTCTGTGCCACAATCAAGGTGTTGGCCTAGGGAACACAATAGCAGCCACCACTCCATAGCTGTGTTTGCAGCCAAATCTCTAGTATGAAGCAAAGAGGAGGGTGCTTAGGGGGTCTGTATGCAAAGGGGCATCCGTATCCTTCTTGCCAGACATCCTAGGGTCTGCAAGACTGAAGTTTGTTTTTGCAGGTCTGCAAAAATAGTGTGGAGACCAGTGGAAGCACTAGCCTGCTGACTTGCCTGACTGGAAAGCCAGGATTGGGAGGCTATAAAGGGTTAAGTTGTTGGAATGTGTTTGAGGTCGATGATTCATGAGAGTGGTCACTCTCAGGTGGGTGATGTGGAGAGCGGGGCAGAAAGAAACTGGGAAATGATGTGAAGACTGCCAGGGAGGCCATAGACAGACCTCTCAATTATTCTCTGAAGTTTCAGCTTTCATTTTAAAAAGATGAATCTTTAGCTGTTGTGGTTGTGAAGAGAGCCTTCAAAACATGAACCGAGTGTAACCATGTCTGCCTGAGCTTGCAGGGAGTCTGAAGTAGCTCTGATGTATGAGCTGCCCCATTCATTTCAATGGACTGTAAGTCAGATGCCAGTGATGATCATTGAAATGCCAACATTGCCAATTATCTCTCTGCTCCAAGCCTGTAAGAAAGCTGAGGAAGTATTATGTGACTATCTAAGTCAGTGGTACATGAAGGGGGAAGGAGGTAGTGGTATATCAATTAAAATAGGTAGATTTGTGCTGGTATGATGTGTAAAATATTAGCAGCACGGGCAGGGCTACGATTAATTTCATTTTCCTGAACTGGGTGACTTCGCTTTCAAAAGTTTAGGAAAAGCTGGAATGACCTCAAACCCAGGTAAGTGAGCTTGAGGCGGGGCTGAGACTGAAGGCAAAGCAGTGGGAATTCAGTTCCTTTTCTTTAAGTAGAGTGATTAGTGGCCTAAATACTCAGAGTTAGGCAGGAGCTCACCTTCACAGCCCTCTGGGCACCTTAAGATACGTCTATGTAACGTCCAGGGCACTGAAGTGCATAATGGTTTGGCCCACCCATGTTTTTGACTCCTAACAGCCATACGTATATGGAGTCTCCCAGATTCCCCAGCATATCTACAGCTGTTGAGAGCCCTTTCTTCAGGTGCTATGTGCAAAGTGCAGCCGGTTCAGCATGTGGAGCTGGGGAGGGGCTCTGGGGACCCCACAGCAGGGGATCCATGTTGGTGGTTATTGTTAGTTTTGTTGTTTGGTTTATGTATCCCTGTTGGGCAGCTAGTTTAGAAAAAAGAGCCCAGCAAACTTTGGAAGACACACACGTGAGTGTGAGTCCCCACAACCAGCACACTATATCGGCAAAATAACAGCTGGGCGATGGCTGCAGCCATCCGGCTTGGGGTCGGAGTTTCATAAGTGAGGAATGTGCTCTGATAGTCTCCGGTCCCATAAGGAATGCCATCTAGAATAAGGAAGCTAAGAAGGTTATCATCCCTCGGGTGTTACATAACTAGTGTTCCTGAGTTGGTGCAACCCAAAAGTAGGACAGAAGGTTTGATAGATTTCTGGTAGCCGGTAACAATCCCTCCTGATGTCAGGAATCTGATCCTCCTGAAGCCTGGGAACATCATGGGCTGTGCTTAAATCAACTCAAACTAGACCAAGAGAGTACTTGCAGGGAGCAGAAGGGCACTGGCTGAGGTGCAGCTGGAGCTGAATGGAGACCTGCTTGCCAAACAGTGGAATCCTGGCAGAGGGAAATGTTGGGGTTTTTCTTTCTCAGATGCTGCCCTGCAACCCAGCTAGAGCTGCATTTACCCAGAGCTGTTACCCACCTCTGATAAGGGAGCTTTGCTGTATTACAGCTCTCTGGCTCGTCACTTTCTGATCATTTTCTCTCCTTTTATAAATCAACCAACCCGGATGTGAAATAGATTTTCTCTGGTTACAGGCACATACGTGGGGCTGCGTAACCAAGGTTCCACTTGCTACTTAAACAGCCTGCTGCAGTGTCTCTTCTTCACGCGAGAGCTCAGAGACCACATCCTCAGGTGAGGGGCATTCATGGTAAACCCTGGGGTTTCATCAGCAACAGCACACGAGACGTGTGGTTAGGCTCGGTAGCTGCATGGTTCTGACCCTGAGACCCAAAGTAGGACACAACCATTGAGGTAAGAAGGGCAGGGCAGCACTGTGCAAGAGAAAGGGGCAGGCAGTGATAGCTGGCTTCAGGGTGTGAGGGGGAAGAGAAAAGAGAAGGGGCAGCAGCCCACGAGTATGGGGAGGGCAGAGGAGGAGGCACCTTGAAGTTATACTGGAAAATGGGGCCCACTTCTAATAGTGGCTTCAGGGCACATTCAAGCAATGTGATGGCCATGTCCAGTGGGGTGGCAGAGTGTTCCCAAGAGAGACAACCAGGGCACGGTAGCAGGGAAACACCTTTTCTAAGGGAAGGCTCTCTGAAGGAGGCAGTGTCCATGGTAGGCAGGCACTGGTCTGTGTAGTTGAACCATCTGTAAGAGAAATCAGCCTTCAAGATGCTGATTGGGGTTTAAATAGACCAGTCAGACGTCTATTGGGAGCTCCCCAGATTCACTCACTCTGCCTAGGATGACTGAGGAGGGTTTGGAACCATGCGGGAGAAGGTGATGAAAACAGCTGTTGGGTACCAGAGGTCAAATAAGACCCAGGTTGCCAGGGCTGGAGATGGGAGCCAGAGGGGGCCCTTCTCTCTCCAAGGTTGGCTGCTGAATAATATTTAATGTTTTAATATCTTCCTCCTTCTGTACAACTGAGACACTCGCTCAAATTGGTTAGACCTTGTCTTGGTATTAACCTTTGAAATCCTTTCCTCTCTGGTTATCTTTCAATAAACACCTCTTTGGCAGTAACATGTTGTGTCTGTGTAAGGGACTGGGGTGACCACAGCTGGGTTGGTGTCCACAAGGCAAGGACAGCGAGCAGGGTCAGAGACTGGCAACCAAGCTGGAATCAAAAGGCAAGAGTCAGGGTCAGAGTCAGACTGGAGATGGAGACCGGAGATCAGAAAGTTGGGGCAGGCCTGGAGTCACAGCAAGCCAGCACTCCATGTGGTTGCCCACACAGCATCCAGGGCAACCACCAGAGTTAAATAGTGAGCAGGGGCCAATCAGAAAGCCGCAGGGTGCTGTCACTCTGGGCCCTGTAGGCGGTACTTCCTGCGGTACCTAATCTCCACAGTGCTCCTTGGCTACAGCTTTCCATGGCCTCCAGGTGGCAATGTGGGAACTTCAGCTGTTCCAGGCTCCACGTCCCAGGTTCTAGTACTGCAGGCCCTTATGGCCTGTAACCTGACTCTCATCTGCAATCTTTGTGCCAGTTTGGGAAAGGGGAATAGTTACTTGGCTTCATTTCTGCAAGTGTTTAATAAAGAGCAGGCCGAGGAGAGATGTGTACCTGGCCAGAATGGAAATGCGATGCTGGGTCAGAAATCCAGTCCCAAAGAAGCCATCCCTGTAAAGCCTACGAATAGACTGGTCACAGAAAAGAGTCAGAGCAAGTAATTTTTGTCTCTCCCTTACTCAGTCCCCTATTGCACTGTATCACCAAGCCACAGAGAATCCCCCCACTCCTCCCCCGCGAGATGAGAGTTGATTTCAGTCTGTTCTTTCATTTCTGGGATTTCTCCAAGGGTGCCACTAGCAGGACCCAACCCAGACACCAGGAGGGACCACTCTCTCCTGGAAGCACTGCCACAGCATCAGTTGGGTCAGAACCTGGATTTTACCTGGAAAGTGGCCAATTAAATTTGTGTCTCTGATATTTTGTAGCTTCGATAATGGTGGTGACTCCAGCATCGTGTGTCAGCTGCAAAAGCTGTTTCAAGAACTGAAGTGTAATGAATCAGCACCTTCCACCAAAGGAATTACAAAGTGCCTTGGGGTGAGAGATGGTAAGAGTTCTGTGCCATGGCATATTCACATTTACACAGCTTTCTATTAAACAGGAGACAGACGTTACCTAAGTAATATCTCATTATTGATGCTAATCATCAAAAGGGCTGGAAGTTCCCTTTTTGCTAGGCCACTAAAACTCTGTATGCATATTTGAATTATTTCTATATTTCTTCCCCAGTCCCCTCTTGCCCCCTTTCCAGTCCCTAACAGGTTCTCATGCCTCTCCCATTCATTTCTGTGAATCCCCCAGTGTGTTTACTTTAGGCCCCTTATTTGTTCCCCTGCCTGTCTATTAATACAAGATGATTTCTCAGCCAAGTATAAAAGGTTTCCATAATCCTGTTTCTGCTCCATGACTTTCCCCTGCCCTCTTCCTATGCAGCTTCTCCTCCTTCTTTACAATAAAAGTTCTCAGATACCTGTACTTCTGAAGATTTGCCATGTCAGGCACACTGTCTTCTGATGGATCCTTAGAGTTTCTCTTCCTGTAGCCCGAGGCCTTTCTCAGGTGTTGCTGCTAACCTCCCATTCTGTCCACACCCACAAACATCCCACCCAAGTTTAGTGGTCCTTTGAACCTGGTCTAGCTGGCCCAGCTGTGTGGGTGTGTCAGAGCCCACGTTCTGCTTTCACTTGGGCTGGTAATCCGCTCCCTTTGCAGTAAGAACACAGGATAAATCACTCAAGTGTTGATAGTCCTCCAGTGCCTTCTCACAAACCACCCCATGTGCCCAGGAAGACAGACAAGTTTTCCTACAATCCAACGGCAAAGAATCATGGAGTTGCTCAGTTTACTGCAGCACATAGAACCATAGGATATGTCCCCCAGAAGCCCTAGAAATACACAGGGGATCTCAGTGCCAATGATGATGCATTATCTGGCTTTGCGGTGTGACTGTTTTCACACCTGGGCTAGGCTAACACAGGTGTCAGTCACCCAGGCTAACTGCAGTGAAGACGTATTCTTAAGTGTTGCTGCATTCAGAGGTGCTCGGGGTGCTCTCTGCTCAGAGGCATGAAAAGTTCTCTGGGATGCACATGACCAGGGATGAAGAAATGAATAGGGCAGCAGTATGGGGCACCATCCTCTGGATCTTTTAAGTTAGTCGTCTCCAACCTTTTAACACAAGATCACTTTTTGAATTTAAAAAAAAGGAGTACTTGTGGCACCTTAGAGACTAACCAATTTATTTGAGCATGAGCTTTCGTGAGCTACAGCTCACTTCATCGGATGCATACTGTGGAAAATACAGAAGATGTTCTTATACATACAAACCATGAAAAAATGGGTGTTTACCACTACAAAAGGTTTTCTCTCCCCCCACCCCACTCTCCTCCTGGTAATAGCTTATCTAAAGTGATCACTCTCCTTACAATGTGTATGATAATCAAGTTGGCCCATTTCCAGCACAAATCCAGGTTTTCTCCCCCCCCCCCCTTTTTTTTCCCCACCACACACAAACCCACTCTCCTGTTGGTAATAGTTTATCTAAAGTGATCACTCTCCTTACAATATGTATGATAATCAAGGTGGGCCATTTCCAGCACAAATCCAGGGTTTAACAAGAACGTCTGAGGAAGGGTGTGTGTGTGTGTGTAGGTAGGAAAAAACAAGGGGAAATAGGTTACCTTGCATAATGAGTGGCTAAGTCATTATGCAAGGTAACCTATTTCCCCTTGTTTTTTCGTACCTACACACACACACACACCCCTTCTCAGACTTTCTTGTTAAACCCTGGATTTGTGCTGGAAATGGCCCACCTTGATTATCATACATATTGTAAGGAGAGTGATCACTTTAGATAAGGTATTACCAGCAGGAGAGTGGGGTGGGGGGAGAGAAAACCTTTTGTAGTGGTAAACACCCATTTTTTCATGGTTTGTATGTATAAGAACATCTTCTGTATTTTCCACAGTATGCATCCGATGAAGTGAGCTGTAGCTCACGAAAGCTTTCATAGATTGATAGATATTTAGGTCAGAAGGGACCATTATGATCATCTAGTCTGACCTCCTGCACAACGCAGGCCACAGAATTTCACCCACCCACTCCTACAAAAAAAACCCTCACACCTATATCTGTGCTACTGAAGTCCTCAAATCGTAGTTTAAAGACTTCAAGGAGCTGAGAATCCTCCAGCAAGTGACCCGTGCCCCATGCTACAGAGGAAGACGAAAAACCTCCAGGCCCTCTTCCAATCTGCCCTGGAGGAAAATTCCTTCCCGACCCCAAATATGGCGATCAGCTAAACCCTGAGCATATGGGCAAGATTCATCAGTCAGATACTACAGAAAATTCTTTCCTGGGTAACTCGGATCTCACCCCATCTAATAGCCCATCACAGGCCATTGGGCCTATTTACCATGAATATTTAATTACCAAAAGCATGTTATCCCATCATACCATCTCCTCCATAAACTTATCGAGTTTAATCTTAAAGCCAGATAGATCTTTTGCCCCCACTGCTTCCCTCGGAAGGCTATTCCAAAACTTCACTCCTCTGATGGTTAAAAATGTGTCTAATTTCTAGTCTAAATTTCCTAGTGGCCAGTTTAAATCCATTTGTTCTTGTGTCCACATTGGTACTGAGCTTAAATAATTCCTCTCCCTCTCCGGTATTTATCCCTCTGATATATTTATAGAGAGCAATCATATATCCCCTCAACCTTCTTTTAGTTAGGCTAAACAAGCCAAGCTCCCTGAGTCTCCTTTCATAAGACAAGTTTTCCATTCCTCGGATCATCCTAGTAGCCCTTCTCTGTACCTGTTCCAGTTTGAATTCATCCTTCTTAAACATGGGAGACCAGAACTGCACACAGTATTCCAGGTGAGGTCTCACCAGTGCCTTGTATAACGGTACTAAAACCTCCTTATCCCTACTGGAAATACCTCTCCTGATGCATCCCAAGACCACATTAGCTTTTTTCAAAGCCATATCACATTGGCAGCTCATAGTCATCCTATGATCAACCAATACTCCAAGGTCCTTTTTCCTCCTCTGTTACTTCTAATTGATGCGTCCCTAGCTTATAACTAAAATTCTTGTTATTAATCCCTAAATGCATGACCTTACACTTCTCACTGTTAAATTTCATCCTATTACTATTACTCCAGTTTACAAGGTCATCCAGATCCTCCTGTAGGGTATCCCTATCCTTCTCTAAATTGACAATACCTCCCAGCTTTGTATCATCCGCAAACTTTATTAGCACACTCCCACTTTTTGTGCCAAGGTCAGTAATAAAAAGATTAAATGAGATTGGTCCCAAAACCGATCCTTGAGGAACTCCACTGGTAACCTCCCTCCAGCCTGACAGTTCACCTTTCAGTAGGACCCGTTGTAGTCTCCCTGTTAACCAATTCCTTATCCACCTTTCAATTTTCATATTGATCCCCAGCTTTTCCAATTTAACTAATAATTCCCTATGTGGCACGGTATCAAATGCCTTACTAAAATCTAGGTAAATTAGATGCACTGCTTTTCCTTTGTCTAAAAAATCTGTTACTTTCTCAAAAAAGGAGATCAGGTTGGTTTGGCACGATCTACCTTTTGTAAAACCATGTTGTATTTTGTCCCATTTACCACTGACTTCAATGTCCTTAACTACCTTCTCCTTCAAAATTTTTTCCAAGACCTTGCATACTACAGATGTCAAACCCTAAGCTTATGCTCAAATAAATTGGTTAGTCTCTAAGGTGCCACAAGTACTCCTTTTTTTTAATTTAAGTGCATCTCAGGATCTACCCCGCCTCTTCCATGAGGCCCTGCCCCATCCCCAGAGCCCCACCCCACTCATTCCATCCCTCCTCCCTCAATCATTCACTCTCCCCCACCCTCACTCACTTTCACTGGGCTGGGGCAGGGGGTTGGGGTATGAGAGAGGGTGAGGGATGTGGGCTCTGGGAGGGAGTTTGGGTGCAGGAGGGGGCTCAGGGCTGGGGAGGGGGTTGGGGTGTGGGAGGGGGCTATGGGGTGCTGGCTCCAGAAGGGGGGTCAGGGCTGTGGGTTGGGGTGCTGGCACCTGCTGGGCGGCACTTACCTCAAGCGGCTCCCAGATGCCAGTGCAGCAGGGCTAAGGCAGTTCTGCCTGCCTGCCCCTGCTCCTGCCCCTGCCCCTGCCCGAGCCCCAACCCCAGGCTGCTCCCAAAAGTGGTCAACGTGCCCCTGAAGCCCTGGGGGGTGGCATGTGGCTCCTCACGCTGCCCCTCTCTGCAGACACCACCCCTGCAGCTCCCATTGGCCACAGTTCCCCATTTCCAGTCACTGGAGCTGCAGGGATGGTGCTCGCAAGCAGAAGCAGTGTGCGGAGACCCCCTTCCTACCTCAGGGGCACGTTGGCCACTTCCGGGAGCAGCGCCGGGCAGGGGCAGGCAAGGAACCTGTCTTAGCCCCACTGCATTGCTGGACTATTAATGGCCGGAGATTGCAATTGACTGTCAGAGGCTCCAGAATCAACCAGTCAATCGCAATCGATGAGTTGGTGACCACTGTTTTAAGTAGTATTTCAAAGCCTCACTGTTTTGTTTTGGTTTTATTGTTTGTTTTTAAAAAACAAACTCCAATGGTATCTTTGTGGCAGTTGCAAGACAAGTTTTCAGTGGGCATGTGAGTTCCGGAAACATCCCAGCTGTATCTGATCTGCCATCTTACCACAGAGTCTCTGCTGAAGAAGAAACAGAAGAAATGGAAACCGAGGCAGTGAACACTGCCCCTTTTAGGATTAAGTAACCAGCTACCACAATTAGATGTTGATCATTCTGGTTTGTGTTGGTACAGTGCACCAGCAGCAGGATGTCGCGGAATATTTCCGGATTCTGATGAATAAAATCGTTGAGGACAAAAAGGAGATTCAGCAGGTAATTCTTCCCTTCAGGAAATCGAAACTTGAGATGCTTTTCAGATCATTACTTCCAAGAAAACCCTGCATTTAAAGAACTTTACATTACAGTACACCCTTCACCTGATAAAAGTCCTTTCTGTGTGCCATCTGGGGCATTATATCTCTATGGATTGTTGGAAACCTTTCTAATTAAAACAACAAGAAGTCCAGTGGCACCTTAGATTAACAGATTTATTTGGGCATAAGCTTTCGTGGGTGAAAAACCCACTTCTTCAGATGCGCTTTTTACCCACGAAAGCTTATGCCCAAATAAATCTGTTAGTCTTTAAGGTGCCATTGTACTCCTCATTGTTTTTGTGCATACAGACTAACACAGCTACCCCTCTGCTACTTCTAACTAGTCACTCTTTCCCTAGCTATACCAGGTGGAAATGGTCCATTCCATCGTCTGCCATGGATGCAAACAGCAAACTAGAATCAAGGAGAATCCTGTCCTGAGTCTTGCTCTCTCTCTTGACAAGTGCAACTGTAAAGCGTATTCTGTGGTAAGGAAAATATCCTGGCATTGGTTGGGTGACCTACAACAGTGGATCTGTTGGTTACAATTAAACCTTCAATAGGAAGCCATTAAATTTAAGTTCATAGGCAAAAAAAAGGGGGAAAGGGTTGTCATAGAAAAGTACCCCAAACTCATTTGTCTGGGTGTTGTGTGGTCATTCAAGCCTTCCAGAACTATAAAGGGATCTGGTGCAGATTTGTCATCTTGTTTGGGGTTAATGAACATATCATTTTTATGAAATAATGAGCTTTTCATTCTTGTGACAGGTTCCTTTTTGTTGTACATACTGATGCATTTCTAAATATACAGTGCGGGCTGTTAACCTTTGTCATAAATATAAAGGGAAGGGTAACAACCTTTATGTATGCAGTAATATAAAATCCCTCCTGGCCAGAGGTACATAATCATTTACCTGTAAAGGGTTAAGAAGCTCAAATAACGTAGTTGGCACCTGACCAGAAGGACCAATGGGGAAAGAAAGTTTCAAATCTGGGGAGGGGAAGGTTTTGTTTGTGCTCTTTGTTTGTATGTTGCCTCGGAGCCGGAGAAGGACCAGGCAGGAAAATCCGTCTCCTAAACCCCTACTCCGAAATAAGTATCTAGGATTACAAAAATAGTAAGTAAACCAAGGAAAGACGTTAGATTATCTTTTGTTTTAGCTTGTGAATTTTCCCTGTGCTAAGAGGGAGTTTTATTCCTGTTTTCTGTAACTTTGAAGCTAAGCCTGGAGGAGGGTTCTCTGTGTTTAAACCTTTTATTACCCTGTAACTTTACCTTCCATCCTGAGTTTACAGAGGTGCTTCTTTTACTTTTTTTAAACAATAAACTTCTTCTTTTAAGAACCTGATTGGTTTTCAGAGTCCTAAAAACCCAGGGATTTGCTCTGTGCTCACCTGTACCAACTGGTGAGGATATTATTCTCAAGCCTCCCCAGGAAAGGGGGTGAAGGAGCTTGGGGGGAATATTTGGGGGGAATAGGAACTCCAAGTGGTCCTTTCCCTGAATCTTTGTCTAAATCACTTGGTGGTGGCAGCAATACTGTCCAAGGACAAGTAGGGATTTGTACCTTGGGGGAAGTTTTTAACCTGAGCTGCTAGAAATAAGCTTAGGGGGTCTTTCATGTGGGTCCCCACATCTGTACCCCGGAGTTCAGAGTGGGGAAGGAACCCTGACAACTTTTTTTTTTCCAATTCCTATTGAAAGTAGTAAGGAATAGCTTGTTACCAGTATACCAGCGATGATTACACTGCCAGATGTATCCTGCGCTCTGTGTAAACTAAGCAGTGGTACGTCTTTGAGTGATGGGGCAGTTTTCTTTTACTGTAAACCTTCACTCACACTTGAAATGCATATTCTCACCTTATATACTGGCACATGGTATAGGCTCTAATCCTGCAATGACTTGGGCATGTGCGTAACTTTAAGCATGAGAACAGTCACATTGACTGTAATACATTCTGAACGTTAAGCAGAGTAAGGCCAGGTCTACACTACAAACTTTTGTCAGTATAAGTACGTTGCTCAGGAGGGTGGAAAATCCACACCTTCTACTGACCTACCCCCAGTGTAGACAGTGCCATGTTGACAGGACAGCTTCGCCAACTGACATAGCTACTGCCTCTTGGGGTGGTGGAGTACCTATGCCGATGAGAGAAGCTCTCCCATCAGCATAGGTAGCGTCTACACTAAGTGCTACAGTGGCACAGAACTGTATGTGTAGAGAAGCCCTAAGTCTCTGCAGAATTGGAGCAAAATGCCCGGTGCTCTGTAGCTAACTAAAAAAACAGTTTGCTTAAACAGGGGTTATTTAATTCTTCTTTGTTGCTTTGATGAGATAAAAACCTTTCCAAGGAAGTTGATGTCATAATTAAAATGTACCTTTGAAAAGAAAAATGAAGCCAGAGGGTAAACTCTCTGCCAGAGGTCTGCGTGGCATAGGAGAGAGTTCGTTGGAGGGTGTTTGGGGGCCAGTTCTTGGGACAGCCACAGCCCTGTTGTAACTCAGAGCTGCTGTTCAAATTCAAAACAAAAATAAATGAAGGTCATACTCAAGTCAGTTCCTGTTCAGATAAGAACTTCAGCATATGTTTGAGTACATATGCTTAAGTCCCATTAAAGTCAAGGGGCATTGAGAATGTGCTTAACATTAAGCACCTGCTTAAGTGTTTTCCTGAATATGATGTTTCCTGGTTAGGTTTGGTCTATGTACTAAAAGTTTGCCTGGGGAAAAAACCTCATTTGTTAGCAAAGTTGATGTACTTCTTCATGCAGGAAAAAAAGCAGGTCAAATACTGTTTACTATAATGCTGTCCCTTCAGTGCCCTGTGGGATATGATCCATGCTGTTCAATTTACTTCTCTCTTTCAATCATAATAATGTACATCAAATTGTAATTTCTGTCTCTGTGTAGAGTAATGCATTGGATGCTGTCCAGGAAGAAAATAAATTTACTGGTGATGAGCAGTTCTATTGTGAAACATGTGAAAGCAAACAAGATGCCACATCGGTAAGCAAGGATTGTTTGGAATGGTCTATTGTACGCAGCGCTGAGCTGAGCTGCTCAGACTTGAAAGCTGTACGTAAAAAGAGGGAAATTGATTTTTTTTAATAAATGTATATTTTATTGTAATGAACTGTCTACAAAAGGGAATTTTTAGAAGGGAGACGATAGTAATATGGTATGTAATGAGCTGCTTTGGTGCCTCTTTCAGCGCTGCTACTTTGAAACACTACCCCCGATTCTTGTTCTGAATTTGAAGAGATATCAGTTTGATGGTAACTGGTTTAGAAAGCTGCATTATGAGGTGTCTGTGCCTTTTTCACTGCCTGTGAATTTGAAAGGACAGACTGCTGAGAACATGGACTTTCCACTGAGCCCTCAGGTGAATTTTATTCTCTCTTTGCCTAATAAAAAGAATGGGAAGGAAAATATACTAACAAATTCCCTAACTAGGACTCATAGAGTTCAGGCCTACCCTTGTGCAAAGCTATTGTAATGAACCTTGAATCTGTGTTGGATGGTGCCTTGTCTTGAGATTTGAGGTGTTGACTCGGAAGGACAGAGATTTGCCATTCAGGGAAGTCTGTGAACTATGCTGGAGTGTCCCTAGCCTGACATCCGCTCCTCTCTGAGCCCTGGCATCCCTAGGTACCATTTCCAACTTCAGGTGGGGGTTTGATGGCTTCCTCTGACTTCCTCTTGTCCCTGGTGACTTTTACTGCCTCAGTCTTTGGGGGACAATAGGTGCAGGAGTTAGTCTGTGCCCCCTTGCAGAGATGAGTTCATAAACTTGAACCTGCAAGCAAACCTCTGTGAGATGGTTCTTCATTGAGTGATGTTGTACATCTTCCACTCTTGGTATTGTGCACCCCTTAGTGCCAGAGATTGGTGCTTTTTCCTAGTTAGCACTGTCTGCTGTTGGTCCACATGTGCTCATTGAATGCCCTCACACTCTCCCACCCACCTCCAGTCATAAAGGGGCGGAGCAGAAAAACCACCACTCATTTCCTTCAACTGCAGCCTTAGGATGGAGGTGGAACACTTCAGCAGTGCCTTATTTCTGTTTTAAGCTCAAGTAGCATAATCTATTGCAAATAGTGATTTAGTTTTAGATTAATTTTTATTAGTATTTTAGGGTCAGTATTTTAAGATAGTTTTAACATTTAGTTAATTAGTGGGTGATAGGCAGCTGTGTCATCTCCTAAATCTCCCAGTTTCAAAACATGGCCTTCATGTCATGTTGCTGTGCTGGACCACGACACTCAAGAAAAGAGTCTTTACTGTCTAGGTGAGGGGCATATTCCTAGTAAATGTACTACTGCTGTTCTTTCGGCAAAGGGTTTCAGAAGAACAGGGAGATTAAACTCAGGAGGCATCTTCTGGAGAGATCCACGAGGCCTGACTCAGATCCTGGACAGTCAGATCTGTCTATCGGCTGCTACAAGTCATGCTCCTGCTGCAGTTCAAAGATCGGGCTTGGCTACACTTGCAGATGTAGAGCCCTTTGACTTAACCAGCCTCTGGAGACCGTAGTAGGGAGAGTGGTGCAGTCTGTGTGGCCACTCTTGCAGCAGCATTGGGGGTGGTGCATTATAGGCAGCTATCCCAGCGTTCAAGTGGCTGCAACGTGCTTTTCAAATGCGGGGGGGATGTGGTGTGGAGTGTGACAGGGAGTGTGTTGTGTGTATGTGGGGGGAGAGAGTGTGGATTTTTGGGGTGCTGAAAGTGTGTCAGCATGCTGTCTTGTAAGTTCAGACCCCCCTCCCGCCCCGCCTCTCTCTCACTCATTCAAAGCAAACAGTAAATGTTTGCTTTTTCTTGGAGCAGATAAGCAGCCGGCTGTCCAAAATGGAGCTTTGAAAGGACATTTCTGCATTCCTGCAGCCGATTTCACAACAATGAGAAGAGTGGTCACTTGACTTAAGGGGATTATGGGACGTTTCCGGAGGTCAATCAGAGCGCAGTAATGCAACACCTCGTTCACACTGACGCTGGGGCATGACACTCAATACGCATCAGACGTTATCCCTCTTGCTGAGGTGGATTACCAGGAGTGCTCTAGCCAGGGAGTCAGGGTGCTCTACGTGCCTTGCCAGTGTGGATGGGGAATTAGTTAGAGTGCTCTGGGTGGCTTTAGTACGCTCTAACTTGCAAGTGTAGCCAAGGCCTTAGACTCAAAGGGGATGCTCATTTAATTCCCCAGGTCTTCAAAGGAAAAAAAGGTCAGAACACCTCAAGCTGTGGCTTTGGAAGGCATACAAAAGTGCCATCTGAAGCCCTGAAGCATACCTGTAAGAGCTCAGTACTGTTAAGGAGAGAGCCTTCAGATCAGTCAGAAGTTTCAATACCTCCTCTGAAGGTTACATTACCCTCTACTACAAGTGCTCCATTGATACACAAGGATTCAGTATTGTGTGCACAGGTATTGTCTAAGGCGGTGATACTCAGTCCGCGGCTTGTGAGCCGCATGTGGCTTTTTGAGGTGTAGCCTGCAGCTCTTCAAGGCTCCCTCCTGCTCCTCCCACTCCCTCCAGGAGTGCGGCAAATCAGCTGATTGGAGGAACAGGGCTAGCTGAGCTCAGAGACTGAGCAATGGAGTCTGAGCAGCCTTCTGTAATTGCTAACACTTGGGCTCCAGTTAAAAACCAATTAGAATTCTTTGAACAATCATGTGCATTCCTCTTGTGGACATTAGTACACCCTCCTGTGGTCACGAAACTATGCATGGTGAAAGCAACGAAAAATGCTCCCTTATTCATGGTACCACCAGGGTTATTGGTACCTGGGCAAAGAGAATCACCTTTACTGGCTAATGCTGACAATCCATTGTCAGTACCATGTCTGGGTGAGTCACCGGTACTGTTTATTAAATATCTGACTGCCGATCTAGTATTCACTTAATGAAGACCCCTCCAAGGTCTATTATCTTCGTTCAGAAGAATATGAATTATCTTCATCAGCTTGTGAGGCAAGTTTGTAGGGAATCTCGTTCTTACACACATGCTTATCTATCACCAAAGGTTCGTTCATCCTAAAACTAGACCTCTGAAATCTACTTCTAAGGTTATGAATTTTCCCATGCTTCTTGGTTTCCTCCTTCTTGGGTTGCCAAGCAGTTTCTTCATGAACAGCAAATGTGGCCTTACTAGTACTGTTGGGCTCCTCCTCAGGGGTAGAGGACCCCATCTTGGTCTCATTCAAGGCAAAGGTCTCCATCACCCAGATAGTTAGAAATTGGTCTTCCTGATGAGCAACCTCATACATCTCCTGTTCTACATCAGCCTGTTTCCTCCGAAGAAGAATTACAGGGTCAGTCATTATGTGGTGTCCTTGTAGCTGTATCGGTCCCAGGATGTTAGCGAGACAAGGTGGGTGAGGTCATATCTTTTATTTGACCAACTTCTGTTGGTGAGAGAGACAAGTTTTCAAGCTACACAGAGCTCTTCAGGTTCAGTCAGAGCAAACTCCTGCAAATATTTTGTCTTCTCTTCCTTAAGGGGCAACAGCAACACCTTCCTCACCTCTAGATGATTATAGATCTTTCTGAGCTCTTAAAAGAAGATTGCTGGAGATTTTTTTCCCCCAAGCATGCATCCTCCACACCCTCTCATCCTTCTAGCCAAAGGTATAAAGGACAGAGCTGTCCCAATATACCTCAGTTCCTTCTCACTGCCTGTGGTCTGTAGTCAGAGTGTGTGCGCGTGTGCGTTTGTCAAACTCTTTCCTTTTTCTCTTTTCAGAGGAAGTTTTCTGGAAAATTATTGTGTGTATATATAGCTAGTTACTGTTAGTGGTACTTGCTTTTCAAAAATATTTTGCTTGTTTTCATTCGTTATTCAAGCTTTTAATCTCCGTACCGGGTCGTGCCTATGGGTGTGGGGCAAGCAATCAACAAAGTCTTTTTTCCTTTGATGTTCCACAATGGCTTGTCTGGTGTCTATGGACCTTATTTTGTTGAACATAACATTTACTGTGGCAAAGTAGTATTTCACACTTGGGTGATGTTTCTTGCCTGCCAGGGGAGCGGGGGTGTATGTGTTACAATTTCAGAGCAAATACTTTTCAAATTACAGAGCCCCACTTAAATATTAGAATCATAGAATAAAATCATAGAATATTAGTGTTGGAAGAGACCTCAGAAAGTCATCTAGTCCAATCCTGTGCTCAATGCAGGACCACCACCAACTAAATCATCCCAGCCAGGGATTTGTCAAGCCAGGCGGGTTAAAAACCTCTAAGGATGGAGATTCCACCACCTCCCTAGGTAACCCATTCCAGTGCTTCACCACCCTCCTAGTGAAATAGTGTTTCCTAATATCCAACCTAGACCTCTCCCACTGCAACTTGAGACCATTACTCCTTGTTCTGTCATCTGCTACCGTTGAGAGCAGCCGAGTTCCATCCTGTTTGAAACCCCCCTTCAGATAGTTGAAGGCTGCTATCAAATCTTCCCTCACTCTTCTCTTCTGCAGACTAAACAAGCCCAGTTCCCTCAGCCTCTCCTTGTAAGTCATGTGACCCAGGCCACTAATAATTTTCGTTGCACTCCGCTAGACTCGCTCCAATTTTTCCACATCCTTTCTGTAGTGGGGGGACCAAAACTGGATGCAATACTCCAGGTGTGGCCTCACGAGTGCCGAATAGAGGGGAATAATCACTTACCTTGATCTGCTGGCAATGCTCCTACTAATACAGCCCAATATGCAGTTGGCCTTCTTGGCAACAAGGGCACACTGCTGACTCATATCCAGCTTCTCATCCACTGTAATCCCCAGGTCCTTTTCTTCAGAACTGCCGCTTAGCCAGTCAGTCCCCAGCCTGTAGTAATGCATGGGATTTTTCCGTCCTAAGTGTAGGACTCTGCACTTGTCCTTGTTGAACCTCATCAGATTTATTTTGGCCAGTCCTCCACTCTGGACCCTATCCCTACCCTCCAGCATATCTACCTCTCCCCCCATCTTAGCCCTGGTCTACTCTGGGGGGGGGTGTCGATCTAAGATACGCAACTTCAGCTACGTGAATAGCGTAGCTGAAGTCGGTGTATCTTAGATCGACTTACCTGGCTGTCCTCATGGCAGGGAGTTGACCAGTGCCACTCCCCGTTGACTCTGCTTGTGCTTCTTGCAAGCTGGAGTACCGGAGTAAACGGGGAGCGCATTCAGGAATCGATTTATCACGTCTAGATGAGACGCGATAAATTGATCCCTGAAAGATCGATCTCTACCCGCCGATCTGGTTGGTAGTGAAGACCTGCCCTTAGTGTCATCTGCAAACTTGCTGAGGGTGCAATCCATCCCATCATTCAGATTGTTAATAAAGATGTTAAACAAAACTGGCTCCTGGACAGACCCCTGGGGCACTCCGCTTGATACCGGCTGCCAA